CTCAGGGGGAACGCCCTGGTGGAGGCAGGTTTGGAGAAGGAATCTTGCCCACATCTGCCCAATCCCGTGGAACCCACTTCGCATGAGTTTCTGAAGAGCTACTGAGCCAATTTGCAGAGAGCAGAGTTTGGAAGACTTTAGAAGAAAACCCAGATTCCCTTGGGTGAGTTTGACTTCTTGCCAGGAAGCTGTTCTGAAGGCCCGCTGGCCCAGCTCCAGGATTCCCTGCTGAGAGCAGCCTGGGGGAGGGGTGCCGTGAAACAAGTTGGGAGTAAAGGGATGAAAGGCATTCACTTCCTGGAGGGACCTTAATTGTCCACGCTGAACCTAACCCTGTCTCCCTCCTGGTCTGGAATTTTGAATTGCACCTTGGTAAAGCGTGCCAGAGTCCTTTTTTCCTTGGATAGATGTTCCCTCCCCCAACAACTGTGGCAGAGCTGGATAGATCTTTAAAACTGAAAGCATAATGCCCGTCAGGGTAATAATGTGATCTGCAGCTACAGATCCATTCCCATCACCTTGGCCTGCATTCAGAAGCCCTGATGCTTTGTGGCCTCTTATCTACTCTCCAGGCCTATTTCACAGCCCCCACCCAGACACGGAATTACTGCAGTTCCTTAAAAACAAAGAAAGTCCAGGGTTGTATATTTTCTCACATGTTGACTCTAAGGAGAACCAAAGGGGATCTCCTGAAAAGAGAACTGTAGGGTAAAAGAAGGGGAGAGTGGGAGGAGGGAGAGAGAAAGGGCTACTTGGGATGAACTGTAATGAAGTTTGTTACATGCATGCATAAATATGTCACATGAAGCTCATTGTTCTCTATATAATTAAACAATAAAAAGAAGTCATCTCCCTTGCTCTTCCTTCCCCTTGAGCCATATCTGCCAAAAGCAGAACTCAGCTAAGAGTAGAACTGGTGAAGGACATGGGAAATTACAGAAATCTCACTTTTTTTTTTTTTTTTAATACCAGGGATTGAATCCAGGGTCGCCTAACCACTGACTGAGCCACACACCGCCATTCCCTTTCTTAAAAAAAAAAAAAAAAAAAGATATATATATTTTATTTTGAGACGGGGTCTCATTAACTTGCTTAGGTTGACTTTGAACATGTGATCTTCCTTTCTTAGCCTCCATAGTCAATGGAATTAATGCCACCTGTTATAGGTGACAAGTTCTTCTCCATTGCATGTTGAAGTTTGAACACTAGAGAAGCATGCAGAAGCAAGCATATAAGGCAGAGTTTTATTTAAAAAGAGGTAACATAGACTTTCCCCAGGAAGAAGAAGGGAGCCATAGCTTGTATCCTGGTATCGCCAGAAACAAGGTGTTCTGCCTTTTTATATGTCCTAGGCTTCCTTAGTTCTGCTCTCTTCTCCTTATCTCTCTCCTTCCTGCTTACTTGAATAGGCCCAGAATGCTCAGTGGGATGGCCAAAAGGTGGGAAATAGGTGGGTTGAAGGGGGAAGGTCAAGCAGCCCAGAGCACATTAATTAACAAGCTTATAGCTCTCTGTGGGGTGGGACAATTCCTGGGACAGGTTACCTTAGCAACCTGTTGGAGCAAGGGCAGGTTCCTGATGAGGGTGCAGGAAGGGCTCTGTAGGAATTAACATTTCACAGTATTTTGGAATTGACTTATTATTTTTCAGTTTAAAGCCTCAACTGATACTAGATGACAGTGTTTAGCAAATGAAGTATAATTCAATTTTATTTTCTCAGCCTCTTTAGAGAAAGTAATCCTTTCTACATAATGTCAGTACTTCCATGCCAAGAAAAACAGTTCACCTCAATCACAAAAGAAGAAAGTTCTGTCTGTGTTGTTTAGCTTTTTACAAACCTAGTTTGTCCTCTGGGTTCATTCAGGTTGTGCCAAATGACAGGACTCCTCTTCTGAGGCTGAATTATATATCATTAATAGATGATGGATGGATGGACAAACAGACATAAAAATTTCTTTATCCATTCGTCAACCAATGGACAATTTAATTGTTTCCAAGTCTTGACTATGGTGAATAATGCCACAGTGAACATGGGAGTACAGATATCTTTATAAGAACATGATTTCATCCCTTTTGGACATGTACCCAGGAAGAAGACTTACCAGGCCATTTGGTAGTTCTGTTTTTCATTTTGTTGGGGTCTCCATATTGTCACATGACTACATTCTCACAAACAGTATGCAATGGTTCCCTTTTCTTCATGGCCTTGCCAATACTTTTTATTTGTCATCTTGTCTATAAAAGCCATCTTACCTGGTATAAGGAAATGTCTAGTGTAGTTTTGAATTGCATGTCCCTGATGATTAGTGATGTCTAGTACCTTTTAAGATATGCCTCTTAGGCAATTTTTATGTCTTCTTTGCAGAAATATCCATCACTTTCTTTATCCATATTTAAAATCAGRTTTTTCTGTTCCTGACTTGTCTGAGTTCTTCGTGTATTTTTTGTATCAACCAGTTATTTGATCTGTGCCTTACAAATATTTTTTTCCCAATCAGAAGACATTTTTATTTTGTTGATTGTTTCCTTTGCTGTGCAGAACAGTTTCTGTATGATTATTTTTTGATTTTGTAATCTGAGCTCCATGCCTCCCTCTGGTGCTGCGAATCCAACCCAGAACATCACACTATAGCCTGGATTTTTTTAAAAAATGTTTATATTAGTGCATTATATCATAGTGGTGTTCGTTTGACATAATCATATGTGCATGGAATACATTTTGTTCCATTTCAGTCCCCTCTACTTCCCCTTTCACTCTCCTCCCTTCTGTTCCTCTTCCTCTTCTCTGCCACAGTCTAGCTGGGCACAAAATAACCGAGCCCCCAGGAGGCACTTGTAGGTCCAAACAGGAACTCCTTTATTGCCCGAACTCCACCAGCACTCCACACACACTCCCCGGGAACTCTCTCATAATCCACTGGGCTCCATGCCCACCACTGGGAACCCCTGTGAGAACTCAACTTGGGAACTCCAAAGTAGTGGTATTGCTGGAGCTGCCCTATTTCCGGACAACAGGGGTCTATATACAACTCAATACACAGTCTGTTTCAATCCAGCATCATCCAGTCACACCAATTATAACTTAATTTCATCATCTTAATGGCTCACTGGTGTCACCTCTCAACCACTCCTTCTGGCAATGTCAGGTGCCATCCCGACTCAGCTGTGGCTCTCAACATCTCCCCCCTTCTGTTTAATTAAACAACAAGCATGTGGCTTAGGCACTGTGCCTGTCTTAGGTTGTCCAATACTACATATGGTCCTTAACCATAATCAGAGGAGCTGACCTCAAGGCATCAGCCTCCTGTCTTAGATTGGTACCATTGCAATTGGATCTTATGCATCATTGACTACCAGCCCAGCATACAGCCATACTTGTGGATA